ATAGTTATACCACCTTGGAAGTCCAAGGAGAAGTCACTATGAGTTGGATTCAACTCGATGGCAGTGAGTTTGGTTTTCTTTGGTATACACACACACACACACACACACACATATATGCTCTAATCATGTTTGTATGTGTTTGTGCTCTAATTGGAAACTTTCAGGGATATTTCAAATACATCAGAGGAAAGATCAATAAGGGAACTTGCAAGGACTGGTGTTTGAGTTTCACATTTACACCAGTATCCACTGTTCTCAAGCTGGGAAGAGGCCAGCATGCATTGCTTGGAATCATCCTGATTCTGATTTTCCCCCTTGGCTCTTTGGCATCTGATAGGAAGTGTGCTTTCGTTCTTTGTTTGCAGAATGCTTTCCTTTGAGCTTCTGTTGATTGTATTGTGGGTATTTTTCTTTCTGTTCTCCTTCAAAGTAGTCAATAGTGAGATTGTACTTTTGCCCAAGTTAGCAGAAGCTTTCCATTTTCTTCAAGTGGAGAGAGAATAAATGAGCAAGAACCTTGGTTTTGAAGTAAAGCTTTCCAGAAACTAAGACTCCATGTGTAGAGTCTTTAGAAAGGATAAAATGGTATTAAAATGTCTTTTCCCAGAGTTCTTCTTTAAGGAAGATAATAAGACAGATAAAAACAGTTCAAGTTTGCTGAGGTATATTTTCAGAATCTACTTGGTTGATTGATTCACAGGCAGGTATAGCAGTTAAGCTTTGAATAGCCTACATTAGGTGAATAGCACATCAATTTGTCAATCTTACAGAAGTCCTCTTCCACCTGGAGACATCAGCTAACTATTCTAAACTGGATGGATATGATGAATTGAAACTGGAAATGGACTTGGTCTTTTGGGAATTAAAGCAGGTAAACCATAGCAAAAGATCATAAATAAGCAGTTCTTATAAAATATTTAAGAAATTAATGCAATATTCTGTTTTGCTTCTGTTGTGAATTGTGCTAGCAAAATAAAGAGAACAATAGGCAAGGTTTTGAAAAAATTCATGTTTGGTTTTAAATTTTTATTGTTGCTTATCTCTATTCCTTGGAGAGCTTACCTCATTCTCTCTAAATGTTATCCCCCTTCTCATCCATATTAATCTTTTAGATATTGAAGAGTAATAAAACTGATATGTGCCTGAATGGACACTTGTCTGAGGAGGAAGCCCTCTTGCTTCCTCAGAATTCCAGAGTTTGGGAGAGCCTCATAGGACTGCTGTGTCAACAGAACTCTTCCAATGGGACTGATATTTTAAACAACCTAATAGGTTCTTTAGAGGATGCTGTAAGTATTACATCATCTGATCTCTTCTAAGAGCACCAATGGGCTCATTGTTAAGGCTAATATGCCAACACTTAACCCTGAATTTTGACAAGGAAAGTGCTGACATCAGCCGTAACTTAAAGAAAAGTGGCAGATGGAATCTCATCTGTGCGTCAGTCCTATCCCTTTTGTTTGCATGGTATAGGAGTTTTTGTATCCTCCCACCCCACCCCTATCTTCTTTGACATCAAACTGATGTCCACAGAGCTTTCCAAACCCTTGAAACAAACCTGTGCTGGGAAGCCCACTATTCTTCCCTGTCCTGCTCCATTTCTAGTATATGCAACTTGTAGCAAGACTGCAGTTTTTGGTGATATGAGACATTAAAAAGCATGTTCCTTCAGGGTTGTTGCTCAGGACCCAGAGACATCTTTGCTGAACATTCAGGTAGTACTGTGGAATGTTGAGCAATTTGTTAGCAAAAATTGTTTATGTCAAGTTGAGCCCATATTTTCTTGCTGAGCACTAAAAAATCATAGCAACACTCATATTTTTGTAGTTCATTTTTCTCTCTCAGAATTATCTGTTTCATTTTTGTCTTTTTTCCTTATATATCATGCAACTCCAGAAAAAGAATTCACTTTAAATAAAATAAAAACTAGTGTGGTAATAAAACTGGTGACACATAAACTATGATATGGCTGAAAAAGAAAAAAAAAAAAAAGCTAGTAACACATACAAAGTTCAATACACTCAACTCTTTCTTTGCCATATTCCCTTTTTCTGTTAAGGATCATATTTTACAACAGGTCATTATTGGGAACACAAGTATGCCAGTTTTGATGACTGAAGAATCTCTGGGCTGGCTAGAAGTCGAGGCACAGCTCTCAGAAATGAGCCTTTCCTGTGCTCGGCTCTTCCAGCTGCTGGGAACTGATGCCATACCTGGGAATGGGGTCACATCTGCTGATTGTAAGGACCAGCTTATTTCCACAGTGTGAGTATGCACTTGATGGGAATTTATAAACAATTGGAAATAAAAATGATTTCAGCTACCTCTTCCACTGAAATGATAGGTCAACATAATATGTTCTATTTCTAATGAATAATGAATAATAATAAAAAAAACAACAACAACAACAAAAAAAACAAACTTACAGCCGTTGAGTTGATTCGACTCATAGCGACCCCATCTTGGGTTTCCGAGGCAGTATCTCTACAGAAGTAGATTGCCCAATCTTCCTTCCAAGGAGTGTCTGCTGGGGGTGGACCACAAGGCTTCTGGTTAGTAGTCAAATGCTTTAGGCACTACACCACCAGAGCTTCTTAATGAATTATGTTATGTGCTGTCGAGTCAGATCGACTCATAGTGACCCCTCCTTGGGTTTCCGAGGCAGTATCATTACGGAAGTAGATTGCCCCATCTTCCTTCAGAGGAGTGGCTGGTGGGTTTGAACCTCCAGCCTTCTGGTTAGCAGTCAAGTGCCTTAAGCACTATGCTATCAGAGCTCCCCCTTAATGAATACAGTATACCAAAACCAAATTCACTGCCGTGGGTCGGATCCGACTCACAGAGACACCTTCTGTGTCCCACGCAGTATCACTATGGAAGTAGATTGCTCAACCTTCCTTCCAAAATGAATACATTTTAGGATTATTTAATTTTTCATTTTAAAGAGATTAACCTATTTGGTGCTATTGGAAAACATCCACAATCTGTTAACAATTAAAAAGTTTTTTTTTTTCTTTTTTTTTTAAGTTTAACCATCAGCTTAACTTTCACAAGGAATGTAGGATTCCTGTTTTTTTTCCTAAGGTGAGAATGTGACTGAGGTTTTTAAACACTGCTTGCATTGACTACCAATGGGAAACTTCTCTTGGGAGCTGTGCTTCTTCAAAAATCTTGGCTTGTCTTATTTTATGGTGCTGTTAATTATGGGTGTGATCAATTTTCATTTTCCTTGGCTGCTGTTAAGTTCATAGAGGCCCATTACATGAACATTTAAGAAAAACATTTTTGTCTTAGGTTCAAAACACATTTTTTTTTTTTTTTTTTAAATCCTGTACTTTTCTAATACCTTCTCTCCTGATTTGCTATGTCGTAAATTTTATATGGGAGCTCTGGTGGCATAGTGCCTAAGGCATTTGACTGCTAACTAGTGGCTGGTGGTTCAAATCCACCAGTTGCTCTTCAGAAGGAAGATTGGGCAATCTACTTCCGTAGTGATATTGCCTCAGAAACCCAAGGAGGGGTCACTGTGAGTCCGGTGTGACTCGACTGCAATGAGGTT